TCCCCAGGGTGGGTGTCACCCCCAGAAATGCTGGAGCCACCGGAAAAGTGGGGAGTCACCCATCGGGGAGAAGCTGCTGTCACTTGGCAGGCAGGGCTGGGCAGGGATGGGGTGATGTTGCTGGCTTAGGCGGGGCCAGGCCCCCACCCCTTCAGGGATGAGCATCCTGATCTCCAGCTCTCTGGGTAACTTTTAGCCTCCCATCAACCTCCCAGGGTTGTGAGATCAAATGAGATAATAATTGTAAATGGCTTAGCACAGTGCTTTGCATACAGTAGGTGCTTAATAAATGCTTCCTTCCTTCCTGTATTTGTCTTAACTCTGTGTCTCTTAGGGTCAGAAGGTTTAGCTCAGCTTCCTCCTCGTACAGAAAGGGAGACAGGTCCAAAGAGGGGGAGCAACCCTGTATCACGGAGTTCTGCTCCCTGACCCCCATTCCCAGCCTCGCTGTGTCTCTGGACTCTGAATTAGGGGTCTTTGCTCCCCCACCCATCCTTGGGCTCATGACTTCCTAGCGTCCTTCCAGCCCTAGCCCTGCCTTGCTGACCGCATCCTCTGGGCAGCCTGGATGGGGAAAGCAGGGAATGAACCAACAGGAGGCTGGTTTCAGCTCTCAGCTTCCCCCACCTCTACCCTTCCCGCACACCCTGTGGGCACCAATTAGCCCCAGCTGGTGAGGAAACTGACCCAGTGGGGAGGCGGCCAGGAAGGTATGAAAACTGAGGGATAGGTGGGGTCTGGGGGCTCAGGCACTTGCCCTCCCCCCAGCCCCTTTCCCTTGGTGACCCCAGCCCACATTCGCCTAAAGATCTGGAGGGTAACCAACCAGGCTCAGAGGCCAGGGCCCCAGAACCCCTGGGTCCCTGATTGGGCTGGGCTTGGGAGGCTGGGTAACTGGGGTTGCCCAATGGAGGTTCCTTCAGGCTGGGTCTCCTTGGGAAACCGGTCGAGCCAAGCAGACAGGACAGGGGACAGGTGGGGTGGCTCAGTACCCCCTTCCCTCCCCTTCCCAAACCGGCTGCTTCTTCCTGGCCCCACCCAGGACAGGGAACGGGAGACACCTGGGTGTGCCCTGTAAGACACTGTGTTTGGGTGTGGGGTCTGTGTGTGTGTTCACGTGTCATTGTGTATCTCTGCATCAGCATGGGTGCACGCATGTGTGACCCAGTGTGACATATGACATGTGTTCTTCCCTGTGCTCAGTGGAGTCCTCTCCTCATAGAACAGAAGCTCCCTAAGGGCAGGGGCTGTTTCTCTTCCGTCCCTGCACCTCCAGTGCCTGGCATGTCACGATTGCTGGTCCATTAATTGACTGTTAGGAGTCCATTCAAGGTGATGTCTCCTTTGTGTGCGAGCATCCCACTGTGAAGACCCAGCGGCTTCTGTGTGTTGTGTGAGCGGAAAGACCTTTGGTCTGAGAATCTGACGGCTCAAATGCTCGCTCGGCAGCGGACTACCGAGTGCCCTGGAGCGAGGCCCTTCCCCTTGGGCCTCCAAGGTTGCACCGGATGGTGCTCCCGGACCTTTCTAGCTCTGTGAGGTTCTGAGCACACCTCGGGGTGACCGTGTCAGGGGTGGGAGTGGGGTGTCTGGCACATTTCACTGTGTCTGTGCCTGCATTTCCAACGCTCTGGGCAGGGCTTTCTTGTCTCTGTGTATACTGGTTTCTCTGTCTCTGGGGTAACAAGGGGCAGTGTGGTACAACCCTGGGCATGGAGTCAGAGGACCTGAATTCGAATTCAGACTTGTTTACCTCGAGGCCTCCTAAAGTCCCTTCTAATTGAATAAAATAAGCATTTATTAAGTGCTTACTGTGTGAGGTTCTGTGCTTGGATATTCTCACTGAGTCAGTAATGTCTGAGCCATGACCCCATTTGGGATTTTTTTGGCAGAGATATTGGAGTGGTTTGCCATGACCTTCTCCAGCTCATTTTACAGATGAGGAAACTGAGGTGAATAGAGTAAAGTGACTTGCCCAGGTCCACACAGCTGGTGTCTGAGGCTGGATTTGAACTCAGGTCCTCCTGACTCCAGGGCAGGAGCTCTATCCCCTAGTATAAACAATCTCCCTGCCTCAGGGGGCCAATCTTCTCCTGGCCCGGGTCGGGTGGGGAATAGAAGGTGCCTAGCACTAATAACTTGCGGGGAGGAGGTAGCTAAGGAAAGCTTCTTGGAGGAGGTGGTACCAGTGCTGAGCCTTGAAGGAAGGTAAGGGTTATGAGAAGTGGAAGTGAGGAGGAAATAGAGCATTGCAGGCACATGGGACAGCCAGCCTCTTCACCCTGGTGTGTGTGTGTGTGTGTGTGTGTGTGTGTGTGTGTGTGTGTAGGGGCCAGTAGGGGACCTGGAAGTCAAACCTGAAGGACTCCTCCCTTGCCTGAGAGGTGGCCTCTGGGAGTCATTCCTTCCTAGCCTCAGTTTCTCCCTAATGGCCATGACTGGATGGGTGGAGCTGGAAAGGAGGGAGGCACCCAGAGAAACCAAGATGAGGGTGAAAGGGAGGACAGGTGGAGGGAAGAGCAGAAGAGAGTGTACATGACACACACACACACACACACACACACACACACACACACACACACGGAGCACAAGTTTGGGAGGTGGAAGGGCTGGCTCCTTAGGCAGCATCTAGTCCCAACACCTTCCTTTTAGAGATGAGGGTCCCACGGATGCTGCCCTGGGTCAGCTTTGAACCCAGGTCTTCTGATTTCAGACCCAGTGCTCCCGCCATTCAGACATAATCGCTTCCTTCCCTCCTCTCCCCTACCCCCCAACACAGACACAGCTGCACACACATGGAGATGAGCATGTGTTTTTGTGTATGTGATTTTGTAATCACAATCTCTGATTGTCTCAGGCCCAGACAGGGAGAGATAGAGACCCCAAGGTGTGGTGGGAAAGAGCCCAGGGCTGGCATTCAGACCCCCTGGATCTGCCCCCGAGGGGATGTGTGATCTCAGGCAAGTACCTCCCTCTCTGGACCTCAATTTCCCAGCTTTAAATAACTGAACCAGGTGACCCTGAATTCTATGATGATACAGGAAGAGATGGTGGCTGAAACAGAAATACAGGGACCACAAGAGGCAGGAAGAGATGCAGGAAGGGCCAGAGAGGTCCCAGAGCCAAAGACCTCAAGCTGGGGCCAGGGCAGGTGAGGTAGGAAGATCTACTCCCAAGGCCCTCAGCATCTCCCCTGTGACTCACTCCCTTATCAACTCCTAATGGGTTAATGACCTATTTCCCTCCCCCCACTTACACCCCCACAGGCCCTAATGACTATTTTCAGCCTCAGCCATGCTCACACCTTCCCTCTGGCTTCTCAACTGGCCGGAGGCAGGTTCGACCTTGTGTCCAGGGACCAGGGCTGCCCCTCAGGAACATAGGCGTCCTGGTCCCCTAGCTCCCACTGGTGGTGGTGACAGGGGTGAATGCCAGGCATCTACGCTGGCTCCTTTCCAGGACCGCACCCGGGGCAGCCGGCTGAGGAATGAGGTGGGACTGGTCCCCCTTGGCTGCTTTATCTGCCCTTGGTGACCCAGACCTGCCCCAAGGAGGGACAGTCTGCTCCCAACGTGGCCCCCGCCCATTCCAGGCTCACCGGGGCCCTGCCATGGTGGTTGGTTCCTCCCCCTCCCCCGTCTCTGACCCACAAAGCACCATGCCAACGTCAGCCACCTTTGTCTTCCTTGGTTTCCCCTCAGCTCTTGTCCCTGGATTTCTGATGCCCTTTGTCCCTAATGGCGGGGGATGCTTTTGGTTGTGGCCTGGCTGCTGCCAGGCTCCATCCACTCTGTGCTCCCCTCAGGCTGTCTCTTCATTCCTCTCATTCTTGGGGCTCGGCTGTCTCCCCTTCTCCACTCAGGACACGTGTGGATCCAGCTCCTCCCCAGGCTTTCCTGTGGTTTGGCTGCCCCGCCCTACAAACAACTCCATAAAGCCCAGGGCCCAAATCCTGTCCCCTCCAGCCTGGGCATGTCTGTAGGACCCAGGCGTGCACGTTTCTGGTCCCAGCCTCTGCCCCCCTCAGAACCCCACACAGGCACCCAGGTAACCAGAGCCATCCATTCCAGGCGTTAGCATGCCCTGGTGGAAGGCCTAGGTACCGGGGAACCCTCCCCCAGGGTCCAGTCACTGAGAGGGGCTGGGGTGAATTCAATACATTTATTTACACAAAGGGAGCCGCAGCAGCAGCAGCAGCAGCAGCAGCAGGCAGGGGCTGGGAGGGAGCAGCTTGGGGGGCTCCCCCCCACTCAGGGCTCACAGTGAGTGGGGAAGCACTGGGGGGCACGGGACATCGGAGCTCCCTCCCTCCCCAATGGGCCTAAGGCACTCCATCCCCAATGGCAATGGGCCAACCATTACACTCAGGGAAACGGAGGCCCAGAGGGGATACAGATGGTGGCCTGGGAGTCTGGGGACCACAGGTGGGCCCCACTTTACTCATCTGTAAAACGGGCTCTCACAATCTGCCATTCCAGGACCTGCACAAGGTCCCCTGCCCTGGGACCCTGAACTGCCTAATGCCCAGGCTGGGGTCGGGCGGCTCCAGGACATGGACGCACCAGACGTGGGGGCTTCTGGCCCCAGACTTACCTCTTTCTTGGGGGCCCAGACCCACCCCTCACAGGACTTAGAGCTGGGAGGGCTCCCAGAGGCCATTCGGCCCAACTCTCTCATTTTACTGAGGGGAAAACTGAGGCCCAGTAGGGAAGGGACTTGTGCCCGGCCACACGGGTGGCCCCGGTGGCCCCAGACCTGAATTCATTGCTCCTTCCACTGAGGCAGGTGGCTTCAGTTTCCCACCTATGTAAAATGAGGATATTGGATCTCAAAGCACCTTCCAGCACTAACATCTTGACTCTGACTCACCCAGGGTTTCACAGGGTGCTGGGCCTGGGGTTTGTCCGGGGCAGTGTTAGCCTCCACGAAGGGAAGGAGTGTGAGGTGGAGACGGGCTGGAGGGCCACCCCCCCCCCCCCCCCCCCCGCCTCACTCCATCACGAGTCTTTAGTGCAAAACAAAATTGACCAAGAGAGAGCAGAGGCCTTTAGTCAGGAGAGGGCAGGGCTGAGGCCCGAGTGGCGGGAGGGCTGGGCCTGAGGCAAGCCTGGGCTCCGCGGGCCGGGGGGCGAGCTCGTGGTTGAGGCTGGGGTCTGAGGGCAATGCTTGGTCTGGGACTGCTCAGACCACTGAGGCTTGGTGGGCACCGCGGGCGTCTGCATCTCTGTCCCCGTAAGGATGAAGCGTATGCGCTCCACGCACAGTGTGGTGGCCTGCCGGGTCTCGCGGCACAGGGCTGCCAGGCTCAGGAAACCATGGGGCAGGTCCTCCACCACCCGCAGGCTCACGGGGCGCCCCAGGCCCCGAAGGCGGCGGGCGAACATCACCGAGTCATCCAGCATGGGGTCCAGGGCGCAGGCCTGGCACGGGCATGCACGGGGCCAGAGTGCAGGCAGGCCACGCCAGGGCCGGAACCCACCACCATAGGGATGCCCATGAAAGAGAGGGAGAAGAAAGGGGCGGGGGGAGATGGAGGACAGAAGGAAGACCAGAAGGCACGGGGCAGGGATGGGGAGGATGTGCAGTGGACCAGAGAGACCAGGGTGACGAAGAAACCCCCAAGGAGGAGGAGTGAGAAAAGGCCAAGAGAGACAGAGCGATGGGACCAGGAGAGAGGTGGACGTGAAGATGGGGCGGGGCGGGGTGGGGAGGATGGACAGGAGGTCAGACATGGAGATGGAGAGAAGCAGTGAGGCAGATGAAGAAGAAAATGGAGACCCAGGGAGGGAGGGACAGAGACAGAGAGAGAGATGGAGGGAGGGGGGAGAGAGACAGAGA